GCTTTCGAGCTTAAGATGCAGGATAAGAGCACCTACCTGCTGGCTGCAGACAGCGAGGCAGAGATGGAGGAATGGATCAACACGCTCAATAAGATCTTGCACAGTAGCTTTGAAATCGCCATGCAGGAGAAGAGAAATGGAGACATTCATGATGGTATGTGTGCGTTTGTCCGGATTCTTCCACATGAAAGGGAGTCTTTACTTGTTGGTATTCCTGTCGAGATAGCTTCCTTATTCTGGGAAAAGGTTTTGTGAAATTGTGCAGATTATTGAAGAGAATTTTCATGCTTAGTCAGTTATTAATAAAGGCGACCTTCTCACTTAATCTCACCTTTTTTTCCCCTGGCCGTGTGCATGTAGTATGTAGAGATGTGATACCAGACCACCCAGGCTTTTAATACTCACCTCCTGTCTCACAGGAGGCTTAGCCGTGAAGCAGAGAGGCTGAATGCCTCTGCATAAAACACTCCGCTAATCTTTCTAATTCCTCTGCTTGTATTAATCATCCTGTGCATGAGAGAGGGGAAAGAATAAAAGCGCTATTGCGCTTGAAAAGATCTGGAAGCTTTCTTTTAAATATGCCACTGAGACCTGCAGTATCCCCATCTCAGTCCCGGGTGATTCCTGCACAGCTGAATTACTGTTTACCGAACTTTCACGTGTCAGTAAGAGATTAAAGAGGTTTTACAACCCTAGGTGGTTTTTCTTAAGGTTTACATATTTTCCCCACACCCATTGTTTCTTGTATTTTCTGACAGATGATGATCTTGGAAAGTCAGACAGCTCCTCTGGCAGTATGGACAGCTTTCAGGTAGGTCCTACTTTCTCTGTTGGATGTGCATGCATTCTTCTTATGGAGTTTAATCTCCTGTCCTCACTGAAGTAGCAAGAAGGCACAGAAGGAACCATCCTTGCCACAAACATGTGTCTTAAATTTAGATTTAAATGTTGAGGGTGACACAGCCAATTTCCCAGTGATTCATTTGTTTTTCATCCGACCTGACATTAAACACAGACCCCTCCCTCCCATTGGCCTTCTCAAGATTATATCTAATATGATTTTTCCTTTAAGAGTGCATTTTGCCCAGAATGTATACAGAATGCATACAGTCAGCAATATCCAATCCAAGATACCCAACAGGGAGAAAAGCATTAGGAGCTTTGATAATTTTTGAGGATAGAATCGTCTCTGGTATTTAAGGGGGAAACTGTCTGACGACTTGCAGGCTGCAAATATTTTTCCGATATTTATGGTGGTTTTTTTGTTTTGTTTTTTTAAAAGCTCTTCTTGCTGTTATTGTGATGAGTGGTACGTAATAGTAAAGCCATATGTGCATGGAAACTGGTGGTAACAGTTGGGTGGAAAACAGTTTGACAGGATAGAGTGTGCTCCAGTGAAATGTGTGCTGGTACCACCTGACTCTCACCCCCGTCTGCACAGCACAATCGGCCTGTAAAATATGGAGCCTGACTTCCAGATCGGTGCAAATGACAAATGTTCTACTAATAAAAAAAAAAACAACTCGCCGTGAATCTCCCGGCCAGCGTTTCCACTGTTTCAGACAGTTTGCGGTTCAGTTTAGGAAATGCTTTCCTTCTCCGCAGAGCACAAGAGATATAGAGTCTAGGATGAAGAATGAAACCAGGCTGAAGCTGTTCACGCTGGATCCGGACACACAGGTAAATTAAGGCGCACTAATGTTCACTTTGTCCCATTTGGTGATAACACCCGACCCAGTTTAATGCTATACCGTCTTTTGAACTATCTTTAGAAACTCGATTTCTCAGGAATAGAGCCAGACGTGAAGCAGTTTGAGGAGAAGTTTGGCAAGCGTGTGCTGGTGAACTGCAACGACCTCTCGTTTAATTTGCAAAGCTGCGTGGCCGAGAACGAGGAAGGGCCAACAACAAA